CGTGGATACAGGCATTAAACCTACAAAGTGTGAATGAAAGAATGAAAAGTGATTACCTTTGTAAATCTTCACTCAAACCACAATTTAAAAAATTGTCAAAACCAAAAAAATTAAAAGTGGTTGAGATGGCAGGTGGCTTTGCGATATATATTTCATAATAAAAAATTTACAATCTTCCTTTCATTCAGGAGAAAATCCAGTAAGGTGATGAATAGCTACTATCTTAATGCCTCTGCTCTGTCCAACAGCCATGTCTTATGGTCTAAGAGGTTTTGGTGGTGCAGTTGATTAAGTTCTTGGCTGCTAACTGAAAGGCTGACAGTTCAAATCCACCAGCTGTCCTGCAGAAGAATGACATCGCAATCTCCTTCTATAGCGTTCAGCTTGGAACCCCTATAGAATTGGCTCAGTAGCAAATTTTTTTTTTAATGGAACAGTAATAGTGTCCAGAACTGAAATGAGCTTAGCTACATGAAACAAGGAGCTCCGCCGACGTAGTCCATCAGGAATTGTGCTGTTAAATCCAATCCACCAGCAACTCTGAGGAAGAAAGATGAGTAACCTCCCAGGAGGGTCAGGTCTAACTCGCCAGCAGTGAGTGTGTGACAGACAAGGATGAAACTCAGCATCAGGCAAAGTCAAACACAAAGCAAAGTGTGCTGCACATCTCATCTATATAAAGTCTAAACCTAGCTGAAGGGATCAAGGGTCCCAGAGGTCACGGCGGCAGCTAGCTCAGGAGGTTAGAGTTGACGGGAGGTGTACAGGCTACTTGGGCGCTGGCAACATCGAAGTTCCTCACAGTTTAGATGGACATTGTTCACACTGTCACAATTCAAACATGTACGCATGTGATGGAACGTCCTTTCCTGTGAACACTTTAATTTGAGTATATCTTCATTCAATTAATTCTTATTAGTTGGTTGCCAACCCTCCCGGGAGTTTTTGGAGGCTGCAAATCGCACAGGAGATCACACATCCTTCTCCCAAGAAGCCACTGGTGGAATCGAACTGCTGCAGGTGTCGCCACTGTGTTAGCCATGCAGCTCCCTTCAGACTGCACACTAGAGCTCACCAGGTCAGAGGAGAGATGACAGTTCTGACTAAAGTTAAGAACAGAGAGTAAAGACAAGTTCTAGGGGTGACATGGTTTTGTTTTTGCATTCTGTCACTAGTCTTAAATAATCAACAAATCTAAGTAAAAAGAAAGCATTTGCTGGAAAAAGGTAATGAGTTAAGTGAGGTTATATGCAGATGTAAGTCACTTCCAGATGATACACAGTATGTTTAAAACTTTCTTGCATTTGACAACACAGCAGATTCAAGGCAGACATGTATGGTTTGACATTCAATGAAGATAAGCTATCTTTCATAGCAAGGCAAACTTTGAATAATACACTATTTTAACTGTGCTTTTACAAAGGGGCTATCAAACCCTGAAAGATTTAACACTGCTAATAAGAATAGTATCATTTCCAGTTACCATCATTCCAACTTAAGCCATTATTTCCTATTCTAGCCATTTCTCAATAAATACGCTGCTGGACACACTCATTTTAGATGTTTGTGTCTCTACTGTCACTTCCATGGCTATTTCTACATTCAAATTGACTGTTTTACTCAGATGCCTCCTGTCTAGGAACCAAATAAACGTGTAGCAGCCCTTCCTCCCAAAATAGATTTGTCCAGAGGCTTCTAAAAAGAGTGCTGGTGGGTCAGTGGTTATGTGTTTGGCTAACTGAACCTACCAGCAACTCCACAGGGGGGAAAAATAATCCTGCTGATTTACTTCCATAAAGATTTAAAGCCTTCGAAACCCCACAGGGAAGTTCTATTACAACTCAGGATTAACTCAGTGGCACACAGCACAAGCTTTCTGGCAACTATGTTCTTGAAATGTGGATTTATGGTTCAAACCTGGCATACTCACATAGTAATCACTTTTGAAATATGCTGGTAACTACTGGACAGGGATAAGAGAGGAAACGAACTCTTGAAGACCTAGTTTTTTCTAAAATTTGTGTGACCAGAGTTAGCAGATCAATTCCTCTCCTTCCAAAGTCAAGAACCAGAAAGGAGAAGCCTGTGTTTAACTCGGGCCAACCGTTTGAATTCTGTTTCAGACACTCATAACCCACAACTCTGGAGCCCAGAACCCGAGTTCTAGCCAGTGCCTACCTAACTGCAATGTGCACTGGGCACCAGCAGGTGGTGGTGCAGTTTCAAGGGGGAGACGAAACAATGCTTACTTCTGCTCCCTCAATGGTACTTCTGCATATGCCAACCATTGTTAAGCTGTTAACCATGTGCCAAGTACTGTTACAAATCCTAGAGTTAGCAATAGTTAAGAAAATTAAGTACGACGGTTCCTGTCTTTGTGGATTCCAACCTAAGTGGTCTTACCATTAAGACATCCAATGACAAAGCACACGTTTTTAGAAGGATGCAGCATCTGCTGTTTTGTATCCAGATACTGTACTTCTATTTAACGGAACCTAAAATTCAAGAACGTACACAGAAACTTCATGGTTTTGTGGCGACCTGCAAAGAGTAATTATGTAATAAATGACAATAAGGAAAAGCCACTTATCATATAATCTAGTCTTTATTGAAAGACTTCCTTCAACCGTGGTTTACAGCTTTGGCTTAAGGTGGCCAGTTGGTGAGCCTCTCACCGTGAGCAGACACAAGACTCCGTGGAACGGCATGGGGGTATACTGGTGGAGAGCAAAGACGGAAGTGGGAAACACAACACCAAAACAAATCTTGAAATAATCATGAAACAAGAAACACTTTCTTGCATGCCAGAGAATCTCAGCCGCCACTTTTAATAAACATGAAAAACAAGGATTCTTGGGCTCAAAACTGGATCAAGATAGCACAGACATCACTTTTGGTTGAAAAATAGGCCATGTTATCTTGACAGTTGTGTATGGAAACTGTGTGTTTAACTTGGACCAGCAGATTTCTATTTTAAAGACCATTTAACATGAAATGACTTTCATAAACTCATCATGGAAATCCTGTTTGCTCAGGTTGGACAAAGGACACTTCAGTCTGGTGCTCACTGTGGCACTGGTTAGACCTCGAGTCTGGATAACCAGCAAACACGGCAGCTGTATTTAGCTGTCAGTTATCTCAATAAGCAACTTACTTTACTGGCAGACCAAAAAAGGCAAACTGAGAATTCAATAGGCTTTCATCAATATAAGAAAAAAAGTAGTTAGTTATTCAAGTTTCATAGATATTCATGGGATTTTTAACTAGGAGGCATAATTGATATAATTTTCCATATGTTCTTATAAAATATAGATAACTTCTTCAAAAACATCCCCCGAAGGCCTAACAATGATCAAAAGAAATCCAAGTCAATTTTACAAGAGTGTATTAGATGACTATACGAATTAAAACTAGAAAAAATGCCATAAAAATGTGGCCTGAAGATGAACTTCAGACTCTATAAATTTTCATGAACACATCTGGCTATATTTTAAATGGGGGACACAAAGAAAAGTAATACCAAAATTACTGTGGTCACCAATTTACAAAACTGTCATTACTTTAAAGCTAATTGTAAGACTTCAAAGGTTTAAAAAATAGTACTGCATGGGTGCAAATCGCATCTTCCTCCTCAACCACAAGGGTTTTCTTTCTCATTTTGGAGTCCGGGTCTCAAAAGTACAGTGCTGAAGCATTTGCACCCCCTAGCTGTCACAATTCACATACAAACGGTTTTCTCTCTTTTTACATTCGTGTTATGATAGAAATTTGAGGCAGTTTTTAATCCACAGTCTCAGAAGACCTTTAGAAGCTACTGTCAATCTTACACATCTTTCTGACCGATTGACAAATTTCGCACCCAGCCAGCCACACCTCTGTTGAGGCTTGTCATTTCATGCATACCACCCAGGCAGAGAAAAACACGAAAAATAAGCCACCCCTCTGTGTACTATTGAAACAGAATATCCAATAATAAATTGGTACAATGAACTGTCTAAATAAGATGTTTTTAGCAATTTGTTAAAAAAATTCTTGGGCAAAATATATCTAATTTTAAAAAACACCTCAAGGTTTTTAAAAAACATGTATACTATACAACATATAGGAACCTTGAAATAGGTTTACAAGGTTTTGAATCAAGGTATTTACAAATCAAATAATGGAAAGCAAAGAAGGGAAAAAACCCAAAACTCAATTCTCAATGACATTTTAAAATGTGCTAACGCACGGAAGATTTGTATGAAATGAATATTAAGGCTTTTCCTGTATTGTGTAATTTCCATTTTACATAGTATCCAACCTCGGGAATGTTAGTGTTGAACATTCTTCTCATTCACTGCCTGCAAAGCAGTGGAGTATGGTAAGTGTTACTTCAGATAATGACAATGTTGCTACTTCTATGTTGAAGCATGCTCTTTAAACACTGTAGTCAATATTTACAACGTTATCATCCAAACTTCATGTAAAAGCACAAGTATGACTGTCTGACTGAATACAAACATCATACTTGGAATCCCTGCCCCCCAGCAAAGAAGTGTCATTTACTACAGTTTTAATAATCAGCACTTTTTGACCTTTTAAAATTTTTGAATGTGGGCCACCAACGTTTGCTCAAGGAACTCTGACAATGCTGGCTGGTCCTTATTAAGGTTGCAAATGTTCTTTATCAGTCTGCTTCAGTTTCTTTAGGAATACAGAAAGTAAGTATTTCCTTCACCGTGACTTCACAATCCCGAATTTCTTCTGAATGTCATTTTTTCCTGCTGACTTCAACTGTGGTCCACCTTATGGTGGGGGGAGGGAGTAACATGATGAACTTAAATGTAATTCCCAGTTTTTCCAAATCATCCCCTTTTTTTCTTTTAAAAACACACAGTGAGTTAAAATACTGAACAGCAAGGTAAAAATGGAGTTGTAGCTAAGATTCAAAATGTATCACCCATTTCTCCTATTATATCAAAATTTGCAGTCAGAATTGTCTTTATTGACTTTATTTTAGTTTTTGTACACAAAGAAAAATCATGTTCATATCCATCATGAACAAAAACTTAAAAAGGCAGAACTAGAAGACATGTGTCCATCACCAAAGCAAAGCTGTGCTAAAGGTTCCAAACATTTCAATTCTTAAAATAAATATTTTCCTTTTTCCCGGTGTCTACTTTCATGTCTTCATAGCGTCACAAGGAACTGAAGCCCATCATGAGTTACAATTTTGCTCAGAGTCCCAGCTCACTGTGTTTGGTAACTTGCCATTCCATATCCAGCTTGGTTAGGAGGAGGTATTACAGGGGGAGGAGCTTGTCCTTGGGGAGGCTGAGCACCAAATCCACCCATCCACGCAGCAGAAGGTGATTGACTTGGGAGGAGAGGAAAGACAAAACAAAACACAACTTCAGCAAAGACAGTAGAAAAGAAAAAGAAATTACTAATACACTGACATCAAAATCTATCAAAGCCTAATCAGAGACAACTAGAAACCAACAAATCTCCACGAAACAGAAAGAGCACCCACAACACACAACACTGTGTGTGCATGCACGCATGCGTGCACTGCAGTGCAAACCTCAATTAAGGCAGTCTTATATTGTTTTTAGGATAATCACTTCAACACTTTCTAAAGAGTATCTAAAATCTGACTTTATAAAAAGTGATATATGAGGGGAGCTCTGGTGGCCTAGCGGTAAGGAGCTGCAACTACAATCCCAGAGGCGCAGGGTTCAAATCCACCAGATACTCTGCCGGGGAAGGAGGGGCAATCTCCTCCTGTACCAGTCAGATCTGATTTGACTGGACACTCACACAAAAAGAATAAATTTTTTTTAAAGTGATATATGATTCAATATATAATCTACTACATACACAGTGTACCAATCTGTAAGAGATTTTAAGATGAAGTTCATGCTTAAAAGTCACAAAAGGAGCCAGCAAAAATAAAGGTCTGGATGGGCCTGAAGCAAAGTATAAAGGAGCGACTCATTCTACCAACAAAAGGTGACTTTATATTAGAATAAATTTTTAGATAAATAACTTCTTTCATGAAAAATAAGCTAATATATTACAAACAGAAATAAAAATCTATCAACTGCTTACAGAAACAGAAGAGCACACCAAATATTACCTACACCTCAGCTTTTACTAGGTAATAAAAAGCAACTTCTTAATGTCACAAACCACTTTTTATAAGTGACGGATAAGTTACTTCTTGAATGCTTAGAATGCCAGAAGAGCTCAACGTATTTAAAAGGATCATCCTTAGAAAGCCCACTCTTTATAATCTTGTCTGGGGTGTATTTGTTTCTGTACTAGAAAACTCAACTTACTCTACTCCGAAGCCTGGCTGATTCCATGGCTGTCCATACACTCCATAGGGTGGCACTTGCCACCCATTTGCCATGTACTGTCCATACTGTTGTGGGTTTCCATAAACTTGGCTCCACTGGCCCCACTGGCTATAGTCGACCTACGAAAAAGCAAATTATAATTTTAGAGAACAAGGAAGAAACACCGTATTTGAAGAATGAGTGGGAGACAAGGAAGAGAAAAACTAAGTAAGCACCCTTATGTGAATAGGACTCTGTTATTTATCATTGTCTAAGATTATTGGGGTGGTGACACCTGTGAAAAGAAAGTATTAAAATTCAGTTAATACCGCAAAAATAATCACTTTTGAAATAGCATTAATAAAAATCAACTGAAAACAGCTATATATATCATTTACTTTGGAATTATTTTACAGTTTCCAAAGCTTTTATGCAGATACGTAAGGTGGAAACATTAAAATATTCTATGAAAAGTTCAATTACCTGTTGAAAATTTTTAGTCATATCAGGAGATTCTTTACCCCAATAGCATTTAACAACATGCCCTTCAATCGTCGTACCATTCACCGACACGATAGCGTGGGCTGCACTTTCATGAGTAGAAAATCTAAGGGAGAAAGATAGTTTGGTTTTTGTCTTTTATTTTTCTAAAAATTTAACAATTATGTAATACAGAAAGCCACAAGTACATTACACAAATAGTTAAAAGTTCCACATTATAAAGATGTACTAAATTATATTAGCAAACTGCCACCTTGGGCTCAAATCAACAGAAAGGAATGGGTCAAATATGAGTAATAATGATCTTACCTGACAAATGAATAGCCCTTCTCTGGAAAAACTCTTATTTCCATAATTTGTCCAAATGGTGAGAATGTCTGTCTCATAAGCTGATCTGAGAAACAACAACATAAAGTAAAATGCTTAAAGGTTAGGCAGAACTACAAGAGACATTAACAGAGTATTAACAGAAATACTGTGATGACACACCAAAGAAGTGATTAGAAACGCAACACCGTACCTGTTAACCCAGAAGCAATTCCTCCACAGTAGACAGTACAATTTTTTGGACTTGACTGATTTACTACATCTTCAAATCGCAACTGTTTAGTGTTGTCTGTATGCAGAAAGAAAACAAAAATGCTGTATTATAAAGCTATTATTTTGTTAATTAGCTTTTTTTTTATGTTTTTTGGTGATAGTTTACACGGAATGTGAGATTTTCATTTGAGCTTTAGTGGCCGAGGCCTACTAGTTAAGGAGCTGTGTTGTCAACTTAAGGGCATGTAGTTCTAATCCACAGCTGCTCCGCAGGAGAGAGATGGGCAGTCTCCTCCCACATGATTTACTGCTTCTGAAAACCCGCTACAGCATTAGCTATGGGTCAGTTTCAACTTGACAGTATATAACAACATTAAGACCACAGTATGTGGATAAATGACTCAACAGAAAGAGAAAATACATTTTTCATCTTGATGCTGTAACATATAAAACTGGATGGTTCATAGCTCCAAAAACACTGAGGCCAAGTTTTTTCAATCAAATTGCAGATGAAATGAGTCTTACAATGTTATTAAGATGCAAATAATTAAGAAATTAATAAGAATATACCAACACCCAATTTTGTGACATAATTCTAACACAGAGGGTAAACATGTCTTACTTTCTTGTGTGCTCTTTGGGGCAGGGGGTTTCCGAGTGGCCCAGTTAGTGCGGATCTGCCGGCCACCCAACCACTGGCCTCCCATGTGCACGATTGCATTCTCTGCATCCTATAGATGGAAGAGGGGAAAGAAATCACAAGTCCTGTCAGATGAAATGTTGGCACTGCCAGATTTCATAAATCTCAGCAATAAATTGAGCAAAACCAACCAACCAACTAAATAAAATACTGCAAAAAAAACCCATGATGTATGAGCATCAATGATTCATAAGAGCTATTCTCATCCATAGATTTCAAAATATTAGGGCAATATTTAACCATCAAGAAGAGGGATATTTATCACAATTCAAATATGCAAGAAAAAACAGCAAACACACTACTGGAATTTTTTTCTTTTTAAAGTTTCTCAAATATACAGATGTGAATAAAAAGGAAAACAAAAATCACAAAACAAAGTTGTTTTTAAAACTCTTTATAATCTGCAATGTAACTTTTCTGATATATAAATATTATACTAAATTCCCTCTCCTCCAAAAAAGTGCATTCTAAATAGCAATGAATTATGACTAAAACACAAAATAATACAAACTCATTTAAAAGTCAAAGACTTCTATTTTTACTATCATTTGAAATATTTAGCCAAAACCAAAGCTGTCAATTCTGACCCATCACGACACCCAGCAAGTTTTCGGAAGGTGTTAAATCACAGGAACAAACTGTCCACCTTTCTTTCTCCCAAGGAGTAGCGGGGGATCTGGACCATCAGGACGTTGTTCTCTACTGGCTGTACCACAGAGAGCCCCTTGTGGCCCCACAGGCCTGGGTAACAGGCCTCTAAACTTCCTCATGGAGTTTCCACGGCTGGACCTCTCTGTGGAAGCAGACTGTCACATCTTTTGCCCATGGAGCAGCTGTGGGATCCAGCTTTCTGGATCCTTTCGTTCTTGAGCAGCTGAGCGCTTAACTGCGGTGCCATGCCACTAGGGCTCTGGCTGTACAATGACAGACAAACACGCCTTTGCGAGGAGGAATCTAAAGCTACAATGCCTGGTCTTTACCTTACAGCTTAATAAAGTGTATTTCCTCTCCAAACTCTCAGATTATCATTTATCCCAGTCTGGGGATTTGCTTCTAACATCTCTCACCTTCCTTCACCATTCCATAAATGCAATTTTTTACCACCTTTCTTACAGGGCTGTTAGCCTAGATTTTTTCTAGTTACTTATTTTCAAGCAGATGAAAAACGAATGAACACACACCCAATTACATAAAAGTTGTACTTTGTAGTTAACATCCCCAAATACTCAAGAGTTTCAGGTCTGCTATTCTATCATTAGAAAAATTACAGAGTTGAGAGACTTACCAGTTTGTTATAAAAAGATACAAAACCATAGCCTTTGGACTTGCCAGTTGCCATGTCCTTAACTACTCGGGCATCCCTGTGGAAAGAAGCACAGCTAAATGAGGGAAGTAAGAGCCACCCTTAAAATAAAAACTAAAAGGAACCACACACACTGTATTGTGAGCATTTTTTAAAAAATAAAATTCCAGTTAGCCCTAATTAACTACAGCCATTCCTGAACTTTCCCTAATGTTTCTTTACCTGTTAGAAAAAAGCAGTAGGACAAAAACATGTAATAAACATGCAACCTAATCAAATATCCTGTGCTTTCTAAACTAAATGTTCAAATTTGAAGATTAAAAGGAACAACAGCTTCCTTTTCTATTAACTCTATTGGCTAGTGTCCTCTAAGGCTTATTGATTCTATAAATTACTGTAACAATGCTAACTACTTTACCATGCAAACTCTAAATAGTTAAATGTCTTCTGCCTAGTGATACAAAATATATGAAATATTAAAAAATTGAAAAAGAGGAAAAAATAGGAATTAAAAAGGCATACATGGCCTGTTAACAGATTTCTTTATTTTTCTTGGTCAATTCTCTACCATCATTTTGGAGTTTGGGCAGCTGTAAATTTTGAAAAATTGACATTTTCAGAAATTTAAGAAAGGAGAATAAAAAACTAACAACAATGCTAAGCACACCAGTACGAAAACAACAAATTTACACAGAAATTTTAGTGAGTAAGTTAAAATGATTGGAAATATAGAACTCCACTGAATATAGACTGTTAAGATGTAAATACTAAAATATGTAAATATAAATAATGTATAATAAGAATAAATAGAAATGAGAAAAAAAAATCTACAACTGAGTTCCAGTGTGCACAGTTCCTTGCAGTTAGCCTTCAAGATCCTGTCCATTCTTATGAGCAATTCTGCAAAATAACCAGAATGCTATTACTTTTAATTGTGACTTGGACTTTAAAAAAAACTGCAGGTCTCAGGTATAAATAAAGATTGAAAACAGCAACCTGTATTATTTTTATATTGATTTTTAAAACAATACTACTTACCACAGTTAGAGATTTAAAAAGCAAAGCAAACATCAAAATAGAGAATTAAGATTAAATCTTTCTTTTAATTAATTAACTACACAGAACAACAAATTGTGCAGAGAAAGAAATTGTTGTTCTTAGTTGAAACACATTCCTGTATGTAGTACTAAGACATTTAATTTAAATTTACAGGAATTAAGCATATAAATCAGTTTTATTCAGAGATAAATTTTAATAAACATTATGTAGAATCGTAAATAACTTAATTTTTTAGTATATTTGATCAAGTAACATACAGTGAAACTTGAGCATAAAGTTTACTAAAAAGAATCAAATCACACTTCCCCCTAAACTAGCAAAACAAAAAAAATCACTAACAAAATATCTATTACTCTCACTTGTATAATTCAAACATAGAAACATTTTAATGTTGTAAAAGTACTTTTTACTAGTAGCTAACATATAAAACACAATTATCATTCTAATTAAACAAACATAAACATTTCTAAATTTATCCATAACATACCCAAGGATTTACCTACTTCCCTCCCCCATTTATCAACTCTTTCTATAAAAGTTTAATATACCATAAATCACATTTACTTTTGATTATTTCATTATCTTTAACCACCAAACTTCAAAAATATTGACTTTCTACTTTGATAGGTTTTACACCCAAATATCTACTTCAAAAATAACAAATTCACGTAAATTTCTTAAACATATTATATACAGAATTAGATGAAAACAAGACCCCAAAACATTGAAATGACATTAACATTTTCAACAACATCTATTACTCAAAAAACTAAACCAAAACCAACAAACAAACAAATCCCAAAAGAACTAAAGAAAAAAAAAATCTAGATTCCAATATAAGTTAACTTTACACAATTTTGCCCAATGCTATGGAGTACAGTATTGATTACGATACTTACGATATTTTACCAAAAGGGGCAAATGCTGATTTGATATCTTCTGTTGTTATTTCTGGACTCAGATCCCCAACAAATACATGGAAGTGATCTAAAACCAAAACATATGGTAATCAAATACTGAAGAAACCAGAGGCACCTTTTTCAGGCAACACTACAGGTGGGGGCACCTATGTGGGCTGGGAACGCTGCCAAGTCCTCCCGGAGAACTCTTCCAGGGGGGCGCAGCAGGCGTACTTACTGGAAGTATCTTTTTTCTGGCTACTTGGTGTTGTTGCCCAGTTTACTTTGACCTCCTAAAAATAAAGATTATATTTAATAGAATTATTAAGCATGTCATTTTGAGCCAAGACACTTATACTTATTAAATGATTTCTCAAGCAGTAGTTATTTGCCATGAAAGTCCTGCATAGAGAGATTGAATAAATCAAATCTATCACTTAGCGTTGAATATTAAATAAAAACAAACTACACAGCAACTATATACATATCCATTTTACAAGCGCCATCACTCTGTTATCTTACCTTTCCCAAAATTTTTCTCCCATTCATAGCCGCTAATGCAGCAGCTGCATCCCTGTGTTCATAAAATTCCACAAAGCAATATGGGTCATTGCTTGTATGCTGCAAAACAGAAAATCCAACAGAAGAGTTGACCCTTCTGCTATCGGGTTGCTGAGAAGAAAATCCAGGAGAAAACATTACTGACAGCTAGGAGTGGACACAGTGAGACTGCATAAGCTTATGAAAACCTAACATTCTGCAGATAAGATTGACAGCTAAACCAGACTTCCTTAAACCTCAGGTCACTGCTGTACTCAAACAGAACCGTACAAAACCATGACTACCCATGTCAAATCAACACATCTTACCATAATGACACTTCAGGCATATAAAAGAAGCCCAAGTCAATGACTAAAGATAGAACAATGGGGGGGGGCACCAACCCTGTGAATTAGTCCATAATGCTTTAGTTGACTTCACAGCTACTTATGTAGATACTTAAGTATGATAGATACAAAGCAAGGGAAAAAAAAAAACAACAAAAAACCTCAAGCTCAGATTTTTAAGATTTGAGAACCACCTTCCCACTGCTCTTCTCCCCCAACATTATTCTTTAAATGCATGAATTCTACTTAATCCTAATTCTTAATAAACTGCATTCTATGACCATTTGAAAATACAGAAATGGACCCATTTTAATCTTGACCAAAACTAGGATTAGTATTACAGATGATAATACTGCTACAAAGACAAAATGGATTATGTATATTTTCTTCTCTAGATAAGAGTAAGACTAGAAAAGTTAAGATTTGTAACTAGCTACTGAAATCAATTTCTTGATCTTCCAAAATGGTCTAAGATATTGGATAGTCTATATACTTCAGATTTGTTCTTCTCAAGAACACAGAAATAGATTAATGATCAAGAAAAGAATTTCTGAAAACTTTGTCTACATAAAATATTCCAAGATAGCTATTATCTCTACAGAGTAAGAGCAATATGAAAAATCTTTATTCATATATTCTAACATTTTGCTTGCTAGTTGTTGGCAAATAGATATTTATAGAGACTGTGGAAAGTAACTACTAGGTGAAAGCCATGTTGGAAATGAGTTCTTATAATGTACAATGAATACGGAATAGCTGCATAACAAATGTATTTTTTAGGTCAGGTTAAAAAGATTCATCATGGTTCAATGCAAAAAATGTCTTAAGAAAATGTTTAGAATGTAGAATTCTAGTTGGACTTACAAGGGACAAAACTTCCAGATAAAATAAAGATCTTTTCAACCACTCTTTTTCACCCCAGGAAATATCAAAGATATGACATCTAAAACAACAGTGGTGAAGCAGAGGCATTTCCTTGAGGGGAAAAAAGTGTTGTTATTATTAATAATGACAACAAAACTATAGGCTCTCATGCAAAATCCTAGTGTCAAAGCCATGTGAATGCAGTTCATAAGAGATAAAGAAAATGGGAGAAGTTTCCAAGTATATTTACCAGGAATATTCACTGAAGAACGAACATAAAAGCAAAGAAGCAACAAAAACTGTGCAAGAGCCTCTCTGATAGGCTCTAGACAAGAAATCTGCTCACTCACTGACTTCACAATTTATCTAACCAGCATCAAACCAGATCCCACTTGATGTGCCCTTCTAAAAAGTGACATTACAACAATATACGTACAAGATCTGTTTTTCATCACATTTTAGTCATCACTGGTTTTTTAGTCACATTCCAATTGTTAAGAATGTTGAAAGTTTGCCTTGGGAAAAAATGCCCAGGTATTCTGTACTGAGCTTATGACGTGAGGAAGCTTTCTGCTGCTCACCAATACCTAGAATGTTACCTCAATTAGTGCTGGTATTTATTTTTGTGAATGCCATAAATGTCAAGACAGGGAAACGTGAGCATTCACAACTATTTAAAAACAGTTTAAGTAGTTTTAGAATATGGATGTATTAGGAAAATCAATTTCAAGTCCCTCCATCCTTCAAATGGTGGGATAAATACATAGGCTTTGTGTTTTGTTTTTAAAAAAATACTGTTAAAAGAATCATCGATTAAATTTTTTCTAAAAAAAAGTGATTCTTTTCAACTCTCTCACATCCCATTCTCTCCTAAAACTACTCCAGCTTGCAGCGATGTCTACTCTGCCACCTCACAGATCCCTTCTGTCCTCATCTGGACTCCTAAGCAGCAATCAAGACAGGTGACAGCCACCCTCCTCTTCTCTCAGCAACCCCAGGTCCTCTCGAGTTACCTGTTACCTCACTGCAAGACTCTTCAGATGTTCCTCTTTAGAAGGAGCTCCAGGACTCGGACCCTTGTGCCTTTATTCCTCGCTAGCCATATGACAGGTGATGTCATTTACCCCACGGTTTGAAATCCCACTGGGAAGGCTGTCATTTATTTGCAGAAGTAATGTCTATTACAGAGCTCCAAATTATGTCTCCAACTGCCTACATGAAATGCTCATTTCGATATGTATGTAACACAACAGGTCTTAAATTTCACAGTGATTGGTGCCCACCCCTCTGACTGAGGTCAGGGGACCCAACTCTCACTGTTTCTATTTGCAAGCAGCACCACCATCCATACATCTGCAAACAAAAATCTTAAGGCTTTCTTGATTGCATGCTTTTTATCGTACTTTTCACAGACAATTCTTTCTCAAAATTCACCCCAAAACAAAGTTACCATTAAATTCACAAAACAAAGTCTCAACTTATCTACCTATATTTCTATGGCTACCATTGTAAAAAAGACACTCCCTCATAATTTCTTACCTAGATAGTGAAATAAACTCAGTAGGATCTCCTCCCTCAATTCTTGTACTCTACAGTCTGTTTTTCATGTACCAGTCATTCTCCACCAGAGTAATCTTTAAAATACAAACCACTCTCCTGTTTAAAACCCTCTAGTGGCCTGCTACTTCAATGAGGATAAAATCGGAACCACTGCCACAGCCCGCAGGACCCTGCGCACTTCTGCCCTCTGCCTACCTCTGTGGACTCCTTTCCCACCGTGCCCCTCCATCACTCACCAGCTTCCAGCCATCCTGGTCTTTGGTTCCAGGAACACATGAAGCTCATTTCCAACGTGAAGCCTTTGTATTTGCTGTTCCCTCTGCCGCCAGCTCTTAGCATTAAGTGGCTCCATCTTGTCATTCACATCTCAGCTCAGAAAGGTGACATCTCCACTTACCACCTACCCTGTATTAGCACCACCCCTCTGATGACCATCACAGCACTCTACTTCATCTAATCCTTATCTGAAGTTATCATGTGTTTGTTTATTAACTACTTGCCCAGTGCCTGGAGTAGTACCCAACACAAGGTAAAATTTTGATTTATGAAAAAAATGAATGAATGATCAAAGACAGGAAGGAAGGAAGGAAAGAAAAATATATACTATAAAAAAACGATGACCCTCATTGTTGGGAAAGATACTCAAAAGCCCTCTGCCGTAAAAGTTTTAAAGTTCCTACAATCTCAGCCTAAAACACAACCTGGTCCTGCTTCTGGGTCCTGCCTCATTCCTGGTCTATCTAGGACTGATCCCATTCTAAACACCCATCATACTACAATTTCTGTTTTTCCCTTTTTCTCTCATAAGCACTTATGTTATCTCAGACTAACCTCCTTGGATCAAAACTCTTCTCTACTGCCTTTCTTCCCCAAATGCCTTTCTAGTCTATTTTTATTACTGCATTTTAATGTCTCAGACTAAATTAAGATTCCTACAAAAACTTTCCCCAACTTTTTGAAAGTGCCTGATCCCACTAGGAGCTCCAGTAGTGTCTCGACATATTTCCTTCCATAGGATTGGTTCAACTATGTCACCAGTGTCTGTAAACTCCTATCTCTCTGACTAAACCCTGAAATTCTACAGAATTGTCTAGAATTAACTTCTTCTTTATCACATTACCCCTTACACTTAACGAGTGCTGGTACAAAGCAAAGATTGAAAAAATGTTTTGGTGAAGAAACAAAAATAGATGGAAGAACAAATGAAAACACAGGTTCTTGGGCACTGCTATAATCCTAACCATAAAACCATGAAATTTTTTCTTTGGAAAGAGGAGAACAAAACTGTTAACCTAAAAATAGAAATGCCTACAACATTTATATGCTTATAGCCTCTTAGTCGTTGCTGTGCACTGTGGAGTCGTAACTGACTCGTAGCTGACCTCCAGTGGGTTTTCTGGGCATTAAATGTCACAGGAGGAGACGCCAATCTTTCTCCCACGGCGCAGCTGGTGGATCTGAACAGTGTCTTTGGGTTGGTGGTGCAACTCCTTACCCAGTAGGCCACCAGAACTCCCTGCTTAGCCATTAATATTGACTTAAAATGTACATGATCGGGAGTGCTGCACACGGCAATCGGGAGTGCTGCACACGGCAAAATCTAGCAACTGTTCTTTTACACAAAATTCTCAAGTTGTAAGTGTACATTTAAGGTTAGCAACATTTTTACAGGACCTGTAAGAAATACTATAATCTAGTCTTTACTACCCTGAGAAAGCACAAACAATTTTTTATAAGCAGAATCATTTGAAGAGAATTGTATCATGAAGAGGAAACCTGGTTGTGCAGTAGTTAAAGCAGTTGACTGCTCTTTCAAAAATTGTAGGTTTGAACTCACCACCAGCCGCTCACTCTGTGGCAGAAAGACGTGGCAGTCTGCCTTCATAAAGATTTACAGCCTTGGAAAGTCTACATAACAGTTCTACTATCCCAAAGGACTGGAGACTTGGAAACAACTTACCAGCAGTGGGCTCTTTGTTTTATATCTTAAAAAATGGCCATCAGAGACTAACAACACAGAAACTCTGGCTTCTTGAATAAACACCTTTCTAAACAGTGTGTTAGCCAAATCAAAGCACTAAGCCATGCAGCAAGCATCAGTCTCTCCCACTGGAATAACTCTGGGCTTAAAATGACTTTTAAAAGTAACTAATAAATTTATGTATCTCAAAACATTATCATCACACGAATTAACACACATAATTGGGAAGATCTTACCTCTGTTATCATTTTACAGCTTTTGCAGGGTCCAATCTGACTAAATAACTGAAGAATGAGGACTTCTGTAACATCTCTGGATAGGTTTCCTACATATCTGTTCAAGAAAAAGGAAAACAGAACAATCAGACATATTTCTTCAGGTCGGATTCTAAATTATCATTAAATTCACTTCTGCTTTTCTTGAATAAATTTTCCCTTAATTCCCAAAATTTTTACCTGATTCTATGGGAGTTAATACTAATCTTCAGTTAGAGTAGCTATTATTGCGCTTAGGCTACTAAAGTACCATTTCAGAAGACATTATCAAGACCAAATCAGCGTGAACTTATATACGCCAATGATTGTATCCTGTATGTCATTTTCTCATTTTAAGTGTTAAAAATTTAAATCATTCTTAACATATCAGCTATTAATTCTGGATGTCAGACAAAAGTTAAAACAATCAGGAACACAAGCATATCACATAATAATAAATACAGATTCATTAAAACAGCTGATCATAAAGATATCAAATTATATAAGTTAATCTTAGACCTCAACACATACACTAACATGAACAGAGACCATTAAGAGTAAAACACAAACAGATGGGAAGCTTTCTTTTCCCCTGCTGCAATTCAACAAGAGTGTAGTCAATGGCATGTCTTCATTGGATTGTTTTAGGAAAGCATACTAGTATAATAAAATTCTCTACTAATTTTAGCCTCAAAATCAAAATAGATCACAAATGAAACAAAATTTTCTTTAGAAATTGGGGGGCGGGGGGGATCAGGTATAATTTTCAACTATGGGCCTTCATAACACCCCCCTCCACTACAATGCAATTCCAATTTCCCTAAATACAACAGTTACATAATCATAAAATATTTTGTATAAAAATGAGGAAATATAAATTAAAAAAAAAGGTAAGCACTTATCACATCACAGCCCAGAGATGAGCTTAGCATGTATCCTGTATCATGCACTTAGTAAACTGCCAAACTTATACTCAGTGTATAAAGATTCTTTTTAAATTTTCTAACTTACATCTGTTATGGGCAACCAAATAAATGAAACAAAAAATTCATGAAATTTAACATAATTTCTTCTAAAAAGTAAAGTGACATAAGTTTCTTTTTTCTAAGACAGCTGAGAACAAAACAGACCAAAATAAGCTTTGCATCTACTGGCTGCCACAATAAATACAAAAGTGCTTTCAGATGGTACTGGTTTAGGTCCCTCGTGCTATCTTTGCTCTTTAACTTAAGTGGAGCTGAGCATCAGTGGGCCACGCACTGACAGACCTTTTCCAAAGCAATGGAAAGATCTAGGATTACAAGCTGGCCACATATACAGCTAACTGCCCCATTTTAACTTATAAGCTTTGTGAGCTGGTATACATGGGATAATTTATTTGGGATAAAATAAACTCATCTATAAGGAAAATGAAGAAGTGACCTTTATCTCCTAAGATTTAAGCTTATCTAACCTGAAGAGCTACTTAGCAAATTTCTAAAAGAATACAAGAGTAATGAACAAAACTGACTTTTTTACATACTGAAGTAGCATAACAACAGTCATTAACAAAGTGAAAATATAAGTAGTTAAAAATTTGTATTATTGTTTATGCATATTTGTTCAGGAAAAACATGAATATCTATTAAAAAGAAAAGCTAATTACTACTGTTTGTCAACTTGATTTAATTGATTTAATTTCAATTCTTTCCAATCAGTAATAGTTTTTTGAAGATTTTCTAGAAGCACATTTAGATAGACCATTAATTTACATTTCTAACACTGATGTCCAAGAGTTAAATTTTAATATGTCTAGAATTTTGTGGAACTTAACAGAAAATCCACATACTTTGGGCATGTTGCCAGGAGGGACCAGACCTTGGAGAGGGACATGATGCTTGGAAGGGTGGAGGGTCAGCACAGGAGAGGAAGACCCTGATGAGATGGATTGACTCAGTAACTGGGGTAATGTAGATAGGTGTGCCAGAGACAATGAGACTGGCTCAGGATAGTTCATCAGAGCAGTTATGCATAGGGTAATAAGTAGTAGTAGTAATAATAATAATAATAAGCGACTCAAAGCACAAACCAACAATAACAGAAATCCAGTTTTAAAGTTTCTGAAGTCTCAATGACCTCCAGTAAAAGATAGATGCAAAATTAACTGCAAAACTTAACACTAAAGGCCTTCCTTGTAACATGCTACTTTGAACCCTCCATGACAGCAGAACTGTCCCATATGGATTCTTAGGCATAATCATTGCCACAGGAGCTCTGATGGAAATGCTAATGTTGCCAACCAAAAAATCAGTGGTTCAAATACAACAGCTGCTCTTTGAACAAAAGGTGGCTAGTCTCTTCCCATAAAGATTTACAGCCTTGGAAACCTGGTCACTCTGAGTTGGACTTGATTTGATGACAGCCGATTTGATACTTAGCTGTTCATAGTTATGGGACAGATAATTTCTAAGTCATACACATACAATACGGGAACTCTGGCAGCTTAGTGGTATGGAGTTGAGTCGCCAAAGCACACAGTTTGAATCCACGAGCTACTCTTTGAAAGACATTCTCCTATATTCTACTACCTCTGAAAACCAACTGGAGGGGTCAGCTACAAGACAGTATAACAACATGGACAATCACTTAAATTTACCAGGGTGACAAAAAAAAAAAATTTACCCAAATTTCAGATTGCCTTTTCTTTTACTCAGAATTCTCTGACTGATGTATCTTAACAGTGAACAGATACATTTTGAACTTTAAATACTGCTGTTTAATCTGTACCAAATTAAATACTAACAAAAATAAAATGTTTAGTACTTGACCTAAAAAGAACATCTTTTTTCATATCCTGAAATAAGGTTTTTTCCTTAAAAACTTAAGTTTACACATTCTATTTTCATTTTTGTTTCATAAAGTTATTATGTTTTAAATATGCAATTTCTATCTGAATAATACAAATGGCCTAAATTCTCATATTGGTGAAGTCAATTCAAATAGTAAACATTGAAGAAATACCAAATTATGTTTAACAAGAAAAGGACAAAAAAATGGCCTACCTTGGAAGTCTTATTTTGTCTCCTAATAACAGGAATTATAGGGACTAAAGCTTTCAAAACTAAAACCAATGCTTTGATTGCTAACATCAGGGTTAAAATCCAATTTGAGACCAGAAACTTGGCAAGTGTCACAGCAGGCAAAAGTTCAAATTACCAAACTACTTCCACGTCAAACAGGGCGGAATTTTAAGTTAAGAATATCATGCCTTTCAGAAGACAAGTCACAATCTTTTAACACTGACTGGTGTCCTCCCTCCGAAAAGAGAAGCACTACCAAGGCTGAAATTAACAATACATTTACAAAAATATTACAACTGTACTGAAATAAAAGGTTTGCTTTTATTCCTGAAAAAAAAAAATCCTACATAACAGGAGATTCTACAACAATATCCTTTTATAGAGTGCTACTGTTTACTGCATTTGTCAGTATTTGATGTTAGGGAAAAGGCAATGTGGAGGAAAGATAAAGTACAAGTCAACTGACCAATTCTGTGAGCAATAATGACATCATGCAACATTTTACAAAAGCAAACTATAAATAAGTTGAACAAGGAGCCTAATTACACTCACATTACTGTCAAACCCATGGCATACCAAAAACTAACCAAACTCATTATGCCAAAGAGTTGACTCCAATTCATAGGGACCTGCCAGCAGAGAACTGTCCGGAAGGGATCCAAGGCTACCATACTTTACAAACCACACTGCCAGATCTCTTCTCCCTGAGGAGGGGCTGGGGTTCCCAACCTTCTCGTCAGCAGCTGAGCACTTAAACACTGTACCACCTGGGGTCCTTAAATCCATGGCACAGAGAGTCAACTTTATCATGAGATTTTCAAGTTTTTTCTCCAGCTCTCTGATCCTCAGACTGAGGTCTAAAGCACTGGGTATTGCCTTCTGTTGATTAAGCCTTTATCAAAATGAAAGAATAGTCTTAAAGAATGGTACTGATTAATATGGTAGATCCATAAGTCCTACCGATTTTGGTCTGTTAAAAGATGACTCAAACTCAAATACAACAGAGCACTATTTGTGTCATACTGAGCATTCAGTTATACTATGGATCAAAACACAGTACTTACAAAGTTCACACAACGAAAGTATGAAGTATGTGTCCTATGTGGCAGGTGCCCAGAGTCCACATGCAGTTATCAATGTCACAAAGCATGATCCCATTAGAGGATTCCTCTCCTTCAAATTACCCAATACATATTACCCAGAACAAATGTAAGATGGAATAAAAAAACCCAATCACCCAAATGAGCTTTTTAAAATAACTATATGACAAACAGAACTTTACGCTCAACATCAAAGCAATTCTATATCATTTAAATACCATTTAAATAAATTAGTAATAGTGTAGGTAATGAATATTTAAAGACCTACCTAGGCTATAAACACCATATTGTTTTCTGAAGATAGAACCAACCATATGTCTTAGCTTGTGTGTGTCTGCAGGGAGAAAACCTCACTAGTAACACACAGGCATCTTAATGATAACAGTTTAAGATAAGCTTTGTTAAAAGAACATTTTTAAAAGACACTGACCCTTGAAAACCTAATCTACTGATCATAATGCAAAATATAGGAGAATCTCCATAATCCTAAATCCTAGGTATCAACCTCTAAAATCATGTCAAGTCTTTAATATTTCTTGTATCCAAAAAAGTTCTTTAGGAGAAATATGCAAAATGTACACATTAAAAAATCCATTTACACATTCTCTTTAATGCTAACAAAAATTCCAATTGTGAAACATTTGTTTTTATCTCAAAATTTTACATTCAAGGGTTTACAACTAAATAAAATAGACTGCACTATGTATGATAGTAATGTCTGCCTAGAACTTTAAAGCAATCAAATCTTTGAAAAGACTTATTACTGTATAAGCATTGTGAAATTCTGTAATTGTTGAATACCTCTTATATCCCAGGCAGTGAACTAAGAGCAGCATGCAGGGTTAAGACCTAGAAGGATGTAGCAGTTCTTGTCTAAAGTGTATTACTGAGGAGGAGGAGAGTGGAAGGAGAAAAAAGGAAGACAGCATAGGTAGTAAACACGACTGACAGACAGGCCCAACAAATACGTACACATGTCACATTTTTAGACACCTGTAAACACAATTCAACTGTGTTTTAGACAAAGGACAGGAGGCTAGAGAAGCTGGAAGTAAGAAATAAATGACAAAGTTAGCTTTTTTGCCTACTTGGTAAAGGTCTGATGGAAAGGAAAACAAAGTGGATGCAAAGAAAAAGGTATGAATGAAAAGTGTTAAAATAGCTTATTGGTTAGTATGCCAAAAGCAAGGAACTTTCTGTCTCAAGAAACAAATATATACCTAAATTAAAAGAGAGAAATGCCCAAGAACAATGCTATTATGATGCAGGCATGGCATTTCAAATTTCTTAGATACAATATACTATACATGCCAGCTAAGCACTAATTTGTTTTCCCCAGCCATACATCACTAACTAAATACCAAGACTTGGCTTCAACAGATAGATGTTAAGGGACAAATATGAAATTTGTCCCAATTTTCTACTTTCTGGGAAGGGAAAGTGGTAATGGGGAAAAAAGCACCAAACAGGAATGTAAACAATCTACTAGCAGGTGTTCCATTCAAGCACCTGATGTGCTTAAGTTGGCCTTAAATTCTCAAAACAGAAAGTTATCTGAATACTTCAATGAGGCATTAGAAAAAACAGAAATGAATGAGTCAATAGTTGGGGGACAAAGGACCCTAACTCGAAAAATACTCGTTATCAATACACAGCCCCACCGAGCTCGGGGGGGGGGGTGTAGGATGAGGATTCCTAGGTATTCCTCTGGTCTCCCATAGGGGAGCTCTGGTGGCCCAGCGGGTGGAGATTTGAATGGCCCAGCTGGGCAGGAGGATGGCCAATCTCCTCCCGTGCGATTTACAACCTCTGAAAACCCGCTGGAGGCTCAGCTCTGAGTCCATCAGGACTGGGCTGCAGTGAATTTGGGAAGGTTTTTTTGTTACTCTAAATGTAATTTCCTATCAGACCACAAGAGCCAAATGAACTATGATCACAACAGGAGCAGGAAAGGCAAGAGAAACAAAGTAACCACCACCACCACCAGGCTCCCGCTCCAGGTCCGGGCGCTGAGCTCCAGGCCCGACCGACACGTTTCCCTAGCGATTGGACCAGGCTCTCCCCCTCCCCCCTTAAAAAAGGGGGATGCGGGTGTCCCACTGCCCGCCAAGGAGAACAAACGCTGAGTCACCACTTCACTCGGAAACGCGAGTGAGGAGGCGGGCAGCGGAATTTCATTCATTAGATCGCGCCACCAGGTAAACCAGGACAGCGAGACGGAGATGGGGGTGCAGCGCCCCGAGAAGCACACGGAGCAGCGGGCAGGGGCGGCGTGTTCTCCCCGTGCGCGGACGGGCAGCCCGGCCATCCGCGAAAGCCAAGGTGCTCGGGGCGCCTCCAGGGCTCCTGACAGTGGGCGGGGGCACGTGCGGCGGCCGGCGGTCCCTCGCAGAGCTCCGCTGGACACGGCCGCGGGCGGCGTGCGTGCTCCTTCCTCCCGCCAGCCTGGGGGTGGGGGCGGCTGCGGGCCCCCTCCCCCTCCCCCGATCCCCCAGGCCCGGCCCCGTGGGGACCCGCAGCTCCCGGCCAGCTCCGGGCCCCCGCGCCCTCCCGGGCCTGACAGCCTCCGCCGTGCAGGCGCCAGGCCCGGGGTGCGGAGGGCGGCGCGCGCCCCAGCAGGTCGAGCCCGGCCCCAGACCCGAGGAAGTGGCCGCGTCTGCGGGGGGGAAGGGAGGGCTTCCTTCCCGGGGAACCGGGGCCCGAGCGAGGAATGCACTCGGGGCCCGCGGCGCCCGCGCTCCGCCGCCCCCCGGGCCTCTCGGCGCCCCGCACCCCCGCGCTCGGGTACTCACAGAGTCCGGGGCTGCCCGTCGTCTTCCATCATGGTGGGTGCGACAGCGTGATCCCGGGACAAGGGGGAGGGCAGGGTCGGGGAGGGGAAGGGGCGGGGAGGAAGGGGAGGGGGGTGCCGGCCGGGGTCAGAGGAAAAGGCACCGAACCAGGCTCTCGGGTTTTTTCCCCCCCAGCCCGCTCCGGACGCGGCGCTCCTACCGGGAGGAGCAGGAGGAGGAGGAGGAGGATGGACAAAATGGCCGCCGCCACCAGCCAGGCAGGAAACGCGGCAGGGCGCAGGCGCGACCCGCCAGGTCACCGATCAGCCTGGCTGCCGCGGCCCGGCGTCGGGCAGAGCGAGGGGCGAGGGGCGAGGGGTCGCCGAGGTGACCCCGAGTGCCGCTCACGACGGGCCGTCGCCGGGGGCGGGCTAGCCTGCGGCGTACCAGCCAGACCAAGCGGAGACTAGGCCCAGAGAGCAATTCCCTGACGCTGAAGGCTCTGGGGATTTAGGTCCTGGACATTAGAGAGGGAAGCCCTTCTCCTGGGGGCTGCTGGGAACTGTATTGTGAAGGCGGTCGGCCGGCGCCCGCGCGGAGCTGGGCCGCGAAGAGGAGACTTCTGGGTAGTGTAGTCCTACGTGGGGACGTGCGGCGACCAGGAAGTCGGCGTGCTGACAGCTGAGGGAGAGAATAAAGGCAGCGAAACAAAGTGAGGCGAGTGCGGCTCCGAGAGGAAACTACAAGTCCCAGAGGGCCCCGCGCCAGGGGGCTGTCCTAGCAGCGCTCCCGGCGTATTGAGGCGGGTCGGTTGGCTCCGCCTGCGCCTCTGCTCCGCCTCCATGCAGCCTGAGAGCGGGTTCTTCAAGTGCTGGCGAGGCAGCGGTCTGGCTCCGCGTGGTGTCCGAGCTGGCCTTTCTTCTCATATTCAAAACACTGGCCGCTGGTTGTCAACGGCCGTCTCGCGCTGTGGGCTGGCCTGGCCAGGTCCCCGAGGGACCTTTGTGGAAAGCTGCGCTGGCCAGGGCCCCTGGGGCGTCCCGAGCGGCTTGCTGCTGCATCTTGCGTTGTAAGTTTCAGCGGTTTTCCCATCTGATGTCATTGAGTAAGGAGGCGCCAAGCGTGCAGTCTGCTCATATTCACAGCGATCTCACGTAGTCCTCCCTTAGAATGACTTTTCAGCCTCTTCGGAGGGACCTCAATATACCTTCCCATCCCTTTACTTAAGCCTTAAGATAAAAGGAAATCCTTGGGCGGCCAAGTGCTGAGGTTTAACATGGTGTTTACAGAGCACCAAGCATGTGGGCAAGGACTGAGGTCTCGGATAAAGAAGGCCAGGTTTAAAGTGGCTGTGGCATGTGTCCCACGCCGATTCACAGCGCACTAACCTCTCTCCCTCCATCCTCAAGCACTTTGAGGGAGACCCTGGGGAAGAGCAAGGGCGTCTGTTAAAAGACTAAGGCGTGGCTGATCCAAACCATAGACTATGCATTTATTACTTGCTGTGCACCTGAAAGCTTTGGACGACAGAAGAAGAATCAATGCCTTTGGATTTAGGTGTTGGAGAAGAGTATTGAATATCTGGACTGCCAAACGAACAAGGACTCTGTCTTGGAAGAAGTGCATTGGGAGTATTGACTTCGGGACCAGAAGGGTGAAACAGCATCTAACTTACTTTGGGCATCTTATCAAAAGGGGCTAGGCTTTGGTAAAAGACATCATGCTGGGAAAAGTGGAGGGTCAGAGTAAGAAAGCAAGACCCCCGCAGCGACTGTAACAATGAACTGAGATAGCAATGGGCTGGAGAGATGAGGAGGTTGGTGCTGGATAGAGTGGAGTTCAGATGTGTTGTTCAGACACTTGTTAGGAGCCTCGGGTAAGTCTGTGACGCCCCATGACAGCAATGAATGGTACAAAAGAGTGTTGGGGGGAGCTCTGGTGGCCGGGTGGCAAGAAGGGGTACTACAATCCCAGAGGTACATGGTTCAAATCCACCAGATGCTCTGCTGGAGAAGGAGAGGCAATCTCCTCCTGTACCAGTCAGATCTGATTTGATGGTACACACACCCACATAAAATAAAAATTTTTTTTAAAAAAAAGTGTTGGTAGTTGGAACCTGCTGCAAGATTCCTTTGGGTGCAAGACCTGATGACCTGCTTCTGAAAGGTCACCACCTGGAAAACCTAACTGAAGCAGGTTGTATTCTGAACACATGGGGTCTCCATGAGTCCAGATAGACTTGATGGCACCTGGTTTTTACTTTAAACCCTTCCTGGAAACCCTTGGGTGGTGCAAACAAGGTTGGCATTCTTGGTTGCAGGGCCTCACAAGTGATGCTTCTCATCTGAAGGGCTGTGTATTTTCATGATTTAGACCATTTTCAGCAACACTTTCAGACTAAGCCTGGAAGGAAGGAGCTGGGGTCTACTGAAAAGTCAGGCTGTTGAGGCCCCATGGCCACAGCTCTCCTGTGACACACGTGGGGTAACCATGAGTCAGAATCAACTCAACAGCATCTATTCTGGCTTTTGATTTGATGATGACACTTGTTTGGTTTTCATTTGTTTCTAATGTCTGTATGCACAGTTCAGAGGCACTGGTTACGTATTTTTCATTGTCACTTTTCTCACTATTTCTGCCCTTAGTGTGTCATCACCATTCATTTAGGCTGTCTGCCCCGTAAAGTTCTCTGTGCTCCAGCTTAACTTGTTAGTTTAAACTCATGTAGATAATTCTCTGTACGTGTTGTGCTGGAAGCAAATGTTCAGTGTTAATTGGGCTGGTTGTTTAATGTTGGTTTCACGGGATTGTTTTGGTTTGAGATTTTTTAGAAATTGTTTACGAACATTAGATTTAGGATTTCCACCAATCTCAGTATATCAGATAAATCTAATTCCCATTGTTTGAAGTTCTGTTTCCTACTTATCTTTTCAATTAGGATCCACTTCTTTTCTTGAACTCTTTTTTTTTATTTTTATTTTTTTTTCTATAATTATATTTTATTAATTTTCATAAACATTTACAGAGATTTTGGGC